ATCGAACATCTATAGTTATGTCATTATATATTATGTTAAACGGGAAGAATAATAATATCGGATGAAAGTTTATCGTGTAATTTTATTAGTATATAGCACAGAAGAAAAATTATAATTGTTCAGTTGTCCCATTTTTTTCTCGACAAAATGTCGACATAATTATTGCGTGGGTTGTGAAACGAAAAAAATTAAATCTTTACTGTTACAGTGTGTTTAATTAAGTGAACGTGGATACATTCCATTAATATCACGAACGATATTTTTTTGGGGGACTTTAGTAAACGTATAATACAATAATGCTAAACCAACCATCCATATTTTGTGTGAGGTGTTACGTACCTATGTGTTATATATTACATTTTTCCAAAGATCCTGCGCGTAACGCGAACACCAACTTTATTTTTATGACGGTTTTTTTTTTTTTTTGTTTATCCTTTCTTACGTCGGAATCCTTTCGGTTTTCACTTTTCATTATAGTGGTAGCTATAATGTATCATACGTATTCAGCTTATCCAGGGCCGGATTTAGGAATGTGGGGGCCCTGGATCCAACCTTAGAAGTAAATATTTTTTTCGATTACATAATAATATATTTCTTCTTCTTCTTCTTCTTCGAGTGCCGTATTCGCTATCCAACATTAGCAATCATATTAGCTATTTGATCACTATTAACGACTGTTCTAAATAGAGATATCGTTGATGTATTGAACCATTTTCGGAGGTTGTCTATCCAGGAAATTTGTGGTGTTCCACGGCTCCTTCTTCCAACTATTTTGCCTTGTATTATTAATTGTAGTAGACTATATTTTCTGTATGTCGCATAAAATCTCCCAGGTATTGAAGTTTACGCGTTTTTATTGTTGTCACTAATTCCAGATTCTTGTTCATTCGTTCCAATACTGTAACATTCGTTATGTGATCGCACCAACTAATTTTTAATATTCTGCAATACCTATATCCACATTTCGAACGCTTAGATTTGGTTGATCGAAACTTTGGATTAAGTCCAAGTCTCTACTCCATAAAAAAGTACGGTAAATATATAACAACGAACTATTCTTATTCGGAGATTTATACTTAGTTTATGGCTACAGAATATATTTTTCATTTTCATGAAAGTTACTCTTGCCTTCTCTATACGGCATTTTATATCGTGCGAATGGTCCCAATTATCTATCAATGATTGTCTAAGACAGACATGTCAAACACGCGGCCCGCGACTTATTTTTTTGTGGCCCTCGGCTAGTAATATTAATGGACAAAATAAAAAAAGAATAATAAAAAAAAAATTATAAAATATTAATCATGTGTTTCGACTAACATAGATTCTTTGATAATGGTATATATTTTGGTATACATTATTATGTTTTATCTTCTGATAAACTTAAATCTAATCGAGCAATAAGTGTTATTGATGGTTTCATATGTACAAATAATATATATATATATATATATAGATTATAGAATATAGATTAATAATTTATATGGTCGGTACGCGACACGCGTGCCTTTGGAAACTAGTCGTTCGACAACCAGCGTGTGTTCGAGTTTAAATTTTGTTGCGTGCAAATTTACAATTTAAAAATGTCTGTATTAAAACCAAGTGGTGATTATAAACGTAAAATTACCGATGAACATCGTCAATTTCATGAACATTGGGAATTACAATATTTTTGTAGTGAAATCAATAATAAAATGATTTGTTTAATTTGTAAAAGTGTTATTAGTGTTCTAAAGTTGTACAATATTAAGCGACATTACGAACAACATAAGTCAAAATACGACCACTATGAAAGGTTATTAAGACAAGAAAAACTGAAAGAACTTAAATCAGGATATAAACACCAACAATTAATGTTCACTAAAATACCACAAGAAAATGAAGCTGTAGTAAAGGTTAGTTATGTGTTGTCAGAGTTAATTGCCAAACATTCGAAACCATTCACCGAAGGTGATTTTATAAAAACGTGTTTGATTAAAATGGCTGAAATTATTTGTCCCGGGAATCTAAAAGCTTTTCAAAACATTTCATTAACACGAAATACGGTTGCTGAAAGAATAACTGAGCATGCAATTTGAGTGATCAGATAAAAATCAAAATACCTAGTTTCGAGTATTTTTCAATTGCTTGTGATGAAAGTACCGATATTGGTGGCACAGCTCAGTTAGCTATGTTCTTTCGAGCTTGCGATATGGAATTAAATATTTATGAAGACTTATTGGAAATTAAACCTATGTATGGTACTACTACAGGAGAGGATGTATTCGTTTCTGTTTGTGAACTCTTAAAAAAATATGATTTACCTTTGGTAAAGTTATCGTCTGTGGCTACAGATGGAGCTCCTTCTATAACAGGAAAAAATAAAGGTTTCATTGAAAGGTTACGAAAAAAATAAATATATTTGGCCCACCTTATACTTTGAGTTTGACATGGTTGGTCTAAGATAATTAATTTTATGTACTCTATCTAAGGGGACATTGTTAAGTCTAAGCAAATTTACCGAGCTTTGCTTTTCATCGATTATCATATATTTGGTTTTTTTGGGTATTTAAATGTAAACCTAAGTTTTCATTAGCTGTTACTACTTTGTCTAATATCTTTTATAAGTTTTCGATGTTGCTAGCTATCAACAAGGTGTCATGTGCATATCTCAAGTTGTTTATTATTTTCCCATTTATAACAATGCCCTCCTCTGCTTCTTCTAAGGCCTTTAACATTATTTCTTCTGAATATAGATTGAAAATCAATGGCGAAAAGATACACCCTTGTCGAACTCCTCTTCGAATTTTAAAGTCAATAGAAAGTGTGTTATTTATTCTAATATTAGCTTGTTGATGCCAATACAAATTCGTTATGAATTTTAGGTCTTTTCCATCTATATCAATTTTTCGTAAAACCTCAAACAGTCTTTCATGTCTCACCTTATCATCTTTATCTACATTATCGACTATCGCATATTTTTATTTATAACTTAATCAGTACGTATTGTTGTGTTTATCTACAACATCGGCTAGGCGGCTACACAAGTTGTATGTGTTTAATTATAACTGGTTTTTTTTATCAGTATTTAAAAGAATATCATATTACGAATATTATTCAATCGGGATTATCCAATGCTCTACATGTCCATAATAATCGATTTTAAATTTATATTTGTAAACTCACAAAATATTTTTATGAATTTATAATATACAAGTATATTAATAATAAGATTATATATTTATGACAGTATCAACGATTAAACATCTTTATTGAAGTTGTGATTTAAATCTATTTTGAAAATATTATATTATCATGTCTTATATGTAAAAAAAATTCCACTGAAAAGAGGCCCTCGTTTTATGGGGGCCCGGAGCCCTGGACCCTCCTGTAAATCCGGTCCTGAGCTTATCACATGCGTATCGCTCAGCAAAGCCTTTGTTAATTGATGAACGCGCACTATTAGACGCCCGTCTTTCTACGAACATTTTAACGATGACTAAATGGACCGGAGATGTTGATGACTTATTCAATATTCATTTTTTTATGTTCACATTAATTAACGGAAGAAACGTTTCAATCGATTTTTTTCTGATAGTTATAACCATTGCAACAAAAGTACTGCGCAACAACACAATATTGATTGAAAATTAGACGCTGACAGTACAATAATTTTATTATGGGTCATTTTTCTCGATTTTCTCGTTAGTTTTTCTCGAAAAACTTAATACACCGATAAATATAATACTAACGGTTTATATTCGTTTTAGTAAAACCAATAATTTTGTGTTTAATCGCTTAAGAATAGAACTATGCAAATCGAAAAATCTTAAAGCGTGGTATTTTTTTTTTTTTTTTTACGTATTTGAATACGTAATAAACTCGGTATAATATTTTGTTTGAATATTTTTATTCATTTTTCGTCTTGTACTCAATATCCGTGTGCATTATTAGTATACTACACAGATAAACAATCCAACCCAAGCTCGGAATTGTTTTTTCGATGATTCATTTACACAAATAATATGACGAACGTGATAAAGGATTATAAAGACCAATAACCATCCTAATCCCATCCGGTTTGTGATGTACACATCATTGGACATTTTTTATGCGTTATATCTAAAGCAAGGGTTATCAAATAGCGGACAATGGACGCACGATTTTTACGGACTCGGATGGCCGTTTATAAATTTATAGTTATAGAGTTGTACTAACTCAATTCCTAGTACTAAGAAGATAGTTAGAACTCAATAACAGTAATTGTTCGTATTAAAATATACCTGCGTAATATTTTGACGATTGTGATTTGGTAAATTGATAAAAATAGATTTTTATATAAATAAAATGTGTCTGCTATTCGTTAACGTGAGAGCGAGAAATCGATAAAAACACCATGGGAAATTGGTTGATGACCACAGACAATATATCAAAAACGAGAAAAATTGAAACCTAACGAAAAGGCACTCGAATCTTACGAGAACAGTGTATAATAATTTTCTAACAAGGCGATTTTAAATCGTTTGGCACGATCATCTAGTTCATCATTTTTCGTGCGTTTTCAACGGAATCCTACGAACATTTTAAAGTCCCACTCTAATGAATGCAATACATTACTGTTCATACCGGGGGTCGATAACCTGCGGCTCAAAAGCTTGTCACCTGAGCCTCTTTAGGACATCCTCGGTGTGGTTTTCCTCTTTATCGTAACGATTTATTTTTTCCTTTCTTCGGAAAACGGTCTTTATAGTATCGGTAACCAAATAAAATTCCTCGGCTTGCCGACGACCCTTTAACCGGTGACTAGGACGCTTGCGAACTAAATGCGATCAACGGGAAGAGCAGTGTAGACGACAAAATGTTGTTCACATCGACGCAATGTTGGACGTCTCACGGTTTTTTTCAACTTTATAGAAAAATATCGGCTTTTCACCGACGAACATTTTTCCATTCGCTTAACCGATGGATTAGAATATCGTTCGTTTATTTATTTGTTAAATTTTTTTTTTTTCTTCCACCAGCTCGTATGCGGCTTCGTGTTGCTGTGGACGCTGACGTTGATCAGCATGGACCGACACCGGTGCATCGTGGTGCCGCCGTATCGGTCGCGGTTGACGCCTCAACGGGCGTCCATGCTGACGGTGATCACGTGGATGATCGCGCTGACCGTGTTCCTGCCCGTCGCGTTCTGGTTCCACGAGCAGCCCGTCCAGAACGGCACCATCCGGGTGTGCACGCTGGTGTTCCCCAAGAACGACACGTTCCAACTGTCCATCGTGTTCACCGTGTCCGTGGTGTCGCTGTCCTCCGTGCTGCCGCTGTCCATGTTCGTGTACCACTACCAGCGGATATTCCACAAGCTGAACAAGACGCGGCGGAAGATCGAGCGGTGCACATCGCACCGGTCCAACCCGAAGGCCATGTCGTTGCAGAAGAACCTGTCGCTGCCTACCGCCAACGACGGTACCATACCGCAGGTAAGTGTCGCCACCGTGCACGACGCAGTTAAGGAGTGGCAGGCCCGTAATCGGACCAAATCATCTGATGGGGCAACCCGAATTTCAAAGGGTGGGGGCGTTAAAAAAAAACAATATAGTGCATAACATACCACTACATAACACGTACGCACATAAAATGTGTGGCACATTTAATACTTATTGTAAGGGGGCAACGATTATGGTTGGGGAGGGAAATACTCCCTCTTGACCCTCTACCCTCGTGGCTACAGGTCTAGGACGCAGGTTCCTAAACGAAAATTTAAAAAAAAAAAAAAAATCAACCAAAAATACTAATAGTTTATATACATTCCCGAGCGGATGGAAACCACGACGAGTATAAATGTCTACGTCACTTACGGTTGACGACTGATGTACAGTGGGTGACTTGATGCGGTTAAAGTTTGTTCGTTTTCGTGTTTCATAAAATTAGGTCCATAAAATAATAACATAAAAAAACATGGTCTGTTTGATGAGTCACTTGCTTGTACAACTCAGAATAGATACCCAATGCGTTTATTCTATTTCCGCTTAGAAAATTTCGTATTATTTTTGTATAATTATATATTTGTTTTTTTATTTTTTTTTTTTTGTGTTGGAACTTACCAAACACCGTAGTTAATACCGCGCACAATATGCACAGTATATTATGATTAACAATAGAAATCGTTTATAACGACACATAGATTACGCGATGACCATACCCGGGGGGGGGGGGGTTCGATGACCCCTTGATTTGAAAGTCCACGTATCGGTTGTTATGACGTCTAGACTCTAGATGATGACTGTACGCCGATGTGTTATGACTCATGACGGTTATTTTTGGTCATCCCTGAGAAATAATTCATCTTTAATGACTGTTTACGTTGATATTTAAAGCTAGGAAGAAATAAGGAAACATAATCCTTAGTTGAATATTATGCAATATTAAATTATAATAATATTTAATAGTTGTAATGCAAATACTGTTCGTATTTTACTTTTGTTTTTCTGTAGGTACATTAAATACGGTTTAGTGATATTAGTATAATATATGTTCATATATTATTTTATCGAGTTCTTAAGATTTTGGTCGTAATAACCGATATTCATTATAACCGCTTACTGTATTCCCTCGGATGTCATCACAAACGATTTCTGTTGCGGTTGTATAATAATTTCTCGCGGCTCTGAAAATGTTTTGTGGTTTTCGTTTATGCAGTGTAAAACATGTATACATTATTTTCGAACACGCGCGAGTTTCACTCCGCGGAGCTTCGCAAAAATTACCATTCATTAAACGTTCACAATTTTCTCTGTGCGGCGGTTGGTCAATCAGTATATTAAATTAAAATTGTTATACAGGCGCATGATAGTTTCGCGTCAATAGGTATACGGCTAGAAAAAATTTGAAAATTAAAGCAAAAATTTTTCGTTACGACCACTGAAGAACTTCAATTCAACACCTATTTAGGTACGAAATAATTGCGCGTTTTCTATGCTCCAGAAATATTAATATAATAATGTACATCGTTTTGTAGAACAATTTACAATCGCGAACAGGATTTGATTTTTCTAAATTTATATGCGCATCATATAACGGATGTAACGGATAAAAACGAAAAATAAACGTTTCAATTTTTATTTTTCGTTCCCCGAGAATAAAATTTAAAAATAAATTATAAATAAAAACCTGTGTTTGTGCGGGAAACATATTGATATTCTGCGGTCGGTCTCGGCACCACCTATAATTTCTGTCCTCTGATTGGCATATTTTAAATTGCCTTTTATTTATCAATGTTATCAATTGTAAACAATAAATTATCGTGTATGTGTGTCACCCGACCATATAAACTAAGAAATAGTCATATATGGCCATATATGGTAGTTACTTAGTTTATATGGTCGAAGGTGTCGCCAATATACATAATATATATTATGTCTATGGTGTCGACACAATATTCTACTGATCAGGGGCGTAATTAGGGGGGGATGGATCCCCCACAAAACTTTTTTATGTAATTTTTTTTTATTTATTATATTGTGATAATATGATTATTATCATTATTATTATTACGATTATTATTATTATTGTTATTATTATTATTATTAAAATTCAAATTATTAAAAATTTTGTTCTGGTAGGGTGGGGGGTTACTGTATGAGATGTACAGATTTTGCTAAAACCTATTATCCCCCCCCCCAAACCAAATTCCTAATTAACCACTGCTATTGATGATTAGAAAATACAATCTACAATACATCAAGTTTTAATAACCAAGTAGGTACAAAGCTACTCATATTATAATCATCGATTAAATATTTTTGATCAATGATATTGTGGGGATACAGTGCATACTCCCACTATCACATGTTACCAACTGTCATTCCATTTTATATATTCTATTATTGTTATCACATTGAATTATTTTTTATATGTTCTGTGTGTGTGTTATAAAGTATGTAAAACCTGTCTGTTCGAATGTTAACGGTTACGGCGATTGCTCGATCAAGCTTTGCAGGCTATCGCCACTGATCCATCGACTGAGTTTGACACGTCGAACTACTCGTATTATTTATTTATTATTACTCTGTCGAGTGTTCGTTTAATACACTGTTTTTTTTTATTATAATAATCTCGTCTTCGCGTTTCTCATTCAAAACATTCACCCTTCTGTGAGTCATTTTGGTGAGTGATCCACCACGACCAACACTCACACTTGATGAACGCAAAAGATACTAGTCCGGAAATTCAAATGAACCAATTAAAAGCGTCAATTAATTTATAAATGTGAGACCTACCCCAGAAAATATCGATACGGAAATCACAGAATTAAAATTGTTTTCGTAGGATGTACGGATTATAAAACTCGTATATTATTCCTATCAATCGAATGGCGATAGATAGAAATATGTTTTCAGCTAAAAGTTATCGGATTTCAATAACTTATCATAGTGCTGCACCCACATTGAATCATATATACATAATAAACGCTTGTAAAAAGCTGTGGGTTGAAAAGAACAATTCCTCGTGATAGAATACCGTCTTGGAGTGGGTATATGTATCATGGGAGTTGTCAGGAGAATCCAGTCCGCTCCCGAGCGTTTTTGTAATTACTTCAAATATCAAGTGCTGCGTTCGTACAAATTTAATCATCGACAATATTTTCCTCTAAATCAGTATCTCCCATATATCTTGAAAATAAGCTAAATCTGTTATTTTTATTTTAGCAACTGAATTGTTCTGACCTAGTTATTTGAGGATTCATTCACTAACAACAATTTAGAAACCAATTATATGACAAAAAATATTTGACTTTTGACATATGATTGGTAAACGAAATAACACAGTTAATTGTATGTTAATTTTAATTACTATTGCTGAAATATTTTAATTTGTGCAAGTAAAAAAAAAATTAACTATCACATGTTAAGTTATAAATAATTATAAGCATTTTTTCGCATTGAGACTTTTTACATGATAACAACACAATTTATATTATTATCAATATTATAAAATATATATTTCCTTACTCGATATTTACTATCAAATATAACTATTTTCAAGTATAATTTATTATCCATCAGTTACGTTTGTTCTGCCATGTTACATATTATGTATCCGTCGTATATCTCTATAAAGAAATTAACCTAACCTTGGGGATTTATTGGATTTATTTTTTTTTTATTCATTTTTAGTCTATATAATTTTTAATATATATGAGGGTAAAATTATAAAAAAAACCATTTGATGAAAACATAAAAAAGGAACGATTCTACAAAAATATGTATTGCGAGTAGGTAACGAGTAGGTTATTAATTTTGATCATGAAAAAATAAAAAACAATATGAAACGCATTACATATTGCATAGATAAAAAAAATAATATATTTAAGTATATACAAACTTAAATTTTTATTTAAGAACTATTTACTGTTGTAAGAACATGTTTAATTTAAATCAATTCCACCTCTTCCCATTTTTTAAATACACGTAGTATAAAATATAATTTAACATGTATCGTAAAAATTCTCGAAAAGTTCGTGTTGAAATAAGGATGAAGATGGTTATATTATGGCGTATTATTACCCGCATTGGGGATAAGTCACCTGAATGTGTACGCAATGTCTTGGTAATCAAAAATAATTCTAATTATGCCCGGCCGCTTCGTCGGTGTCGTATATGATTCACCACTACTATGTACACTCAATTCATGACGCCTAAACGTTACATCAAATCATTTTATGGTATACACCGTAAAATTATAATTTATTCTCGGTTTATGATGGCCTTATTAAAAATATAATCAGAGTGGTTAATGCGTGAAGGGAAACCTTGCTTAAGCCTCAACACGTAAACATAAACGCATGAGGATTGAAATATACGCAGCACACTTTATCACAGTAATCGTTTTGAAATAAATACTCTTGCCGCGTACCTCACCGAAAACAATGACATTTTATTAAAATTTGTTTGTTTAGTACTTTTATGCCATACCGTCGTACATCCTCGCAATGTCGCTCGGAGTTTAAATTTTATACTCAATAAGGACTTAACAAAATAATACGTGTTTTTGAAATTTTGGAACACTATAAGTTTTTATTAAACAAACACATTTTAGATTATTAAGATTTTGAATTGTATGAATTATATGTCTTTGAGTGTAAAAAACAAATATAAGGAATAATATAATTATGATATGTAGAATATTTAGAGATACGAGCTCCTGATCTGATCCAATTTCAGAACATTCAAACGCAGAGCAAGTGTGGTTTAAATAAAATGCAGCACTCTCAAATAAATTTTAGTTGCGTAGGACCGTTGATCGATTCGCACGAATGTGTTACACAGCGCGGTCCTTCAGTTTGTACACGTAAAATAATTCAAACGTAACGAAAATCTAATTTATTGCGTCCATTTAATATTAATAATATCTATATTTATCCACTGGAAGTGTACCAAAATGAAACGGTGAATTTCCATTAATAATTTCGTGTATGTAC